CTTCCTTCCTTCCTTCCTTCCTGCCTTCCCTCCCTCCCTCCCTCCCTCCCTCCCTCCTTCCTGTGTCATCACCCTCTCTAGGTCTGTTTTAAAACCTCTGCACACATTTCTCATGCAATTGTCTGAAACGCAAGAGATCTGACGGGTGGGCGTGACTCCTTACATCTGCATTTTCAGCATCCGGCGGCTGGCTCCCACCCTCCCACCCCCTTCCTGCCACGCTGGACGGTCTGCAGAAAGCTCAGAGGAGGGGGGGGCAGGAGGCAAGGAGGGGCCTCACATTCCCCGTTCCCGGTGATAACTCGACTGCCAGAGGACTGTTTTGGGCCCCAGCATGGGGGGATATTGATATGCTGTACCTCTTATCATGAGGTTCTTTAGATCTGTCATTTCAGGAATGCAAGGCCCTTCCCCTGTGGTTCACAGGGTTGCCTACCTCCGGGTGAGGCCTGGAGATCTCCCTGAATTACAACTGCCTTCCAGGCTACGGATGTCAGTTCCCCGACTCGCAGGGGTCATTTTGTAGAAAAAGTATTGCAGGCGCTCATTAGAATAACTCATTAGCATAACTCATTTGCATATGCAACACCCCCTGACATCACCGGAAGTGTGTCGGAAGGCAACACCCACCGCTCAGGCTCCACTGGAGTGTTTTGGACTGCTAGCTATTGGGGGGGGGGAATGTGCAGATCTGTCCTCACAGAGGAGGGAGAGCTTGTGCCTGAATAAAACTTGGTCTTAAAGGTGCCACTGGACTGTTTGGGGCCGGGGGGCTGGGGGGGGGCTCTGCAGCTTACCTGGCTTCTCCTTGCTCTGACTGAGGGCTGTTGGGAGCAGGGAGTGGGGCTTGTTGCATGTGCCCGCACCCTGGGCTCCTTACTGCCGGAGCTCTGCTCCTGTGGGCTCCTGCAGGAAATGACCCCTGCCCCCGAGGAAATGGAAGCCTTAGAGGGCAGGCTCTATGGCACCATGCCGCGGCCGAGGTCCCTCTGCTCCCGAAACTCTGCCCTCTGCAAGCTCCACCCCCAAATCTCCAGGAATTTCTCAGGCCAAAATTGGCTATTCTCCCCCTTTCCAG